ATATGGGAGCTTAAACAAACAATAGCAACAACAACAACAACAACAAAAAACAAAAAACGGGGGTAGGTGGAGCGAGAGGTTACGATTTACCTGCTCTGGGGTGCAGACCAGACATAAGGATTTTTAAGACTCTTTAGTGATTCAAATGTGCACCCAAGTTTGAGAGCCATGCTCTAAGCCAGTGCCAGCTCCGGGAAAGGGTGAAAATGCAGGGGCTACTGAGCAGTTATGAAGAGGAATGATGACCAATTTATTAAGAGTTGCAGCACACTAATTGGAAAGAGAAAAATGGCACGGTAACTTGAATTTCAGCACTTGCTTCCCCACAAGTGAAAAGGCTTACATGTTTTTCCTCTTATGTACAAATTAGGAACTTCAATCTTTACATGTTTTGGAAGGAAAGTCTGCTCAGTTGCACTTCAATTTTCAGGCACGGTTTTCCTGTATTGAAGCCAGCTGCCAATTTCATTACTGAGCAATTGAGAACTTCACTTCTCCGGTATAGTTTAGATCAATGGAGATGGCTTTGGTATTTAGAATTTCTCCCTTTTCCCTGTCTTGCATTGGATATCATATTTAATACAGAAAACCACCTGTCAGGATGCACCTTTCTATTGTTCCTATGGCTGGCTTAGAAATACAGCAGGGTAAAGGTTAGACATTGAGGATGTCAGAAAAGATGAGAAACAGGATGTGTTGGGTGTGGGGTCATAGAATACTAATTTACATTCTATCCTATTCACTCCTCGAGGACAGGAGCATGTCTTTAGCACTCCTTACACCTAGGATGGTACTGTGCACATGGCAAGCCTCAGAAAACATTTGTGCAATTATTACTAAGCAAGTATTTTCAGTTTACAAGGTGCTTTCTGGCATATCTCACTGACTCTGCAATAGCTCTGATGTAGGTGGGTGCTGTCTTTTTCACCTTCCAAAAGGACATATAGGCTCAGAGAGGTTGCCTTATGTTCCAGGGGTCACATCATGATTTAGATCAGAGAGTAAAAACCCTGTCTCTCATGGCCTTTTCCACTTTATAAAACAGCTACTAAATGGTGTTTGAAACTGGAGTAGTTCAGCATTGTGAACAATCTAGTCCTTTTTCCACATCATTTCTTATGGGAGGAAAAAAATTAGTATTGTTTAAAAAGCATAAGATTAGATGACACTTTTCTATCATAGGGGGACTTTGCAGGCCACTGGTATACATTCCCTTAGCATCTCAACTTGCTTAGAATTTAATCTTTTCAACACTTTATAAAGTGTTATAAACAGTTTATATGTATACATTTCCTCAAAAATTATAATAGTCATTTTCAGGTCTCCCCCTTGGTGCTGCTTGGGGTCCCTGAAACCTGATGTCGCAACAGGAGAACCTGGATGCTCCAGCAGCATTCAGGGTAGTGTCCAAATCCAGTGTAACAGAGGAGTTGGGGGCTTTGGCTGCCCAGGGAGTAGACCAGGGCCAATGTTTGCAATGGTCTGGTTCTGGGAAGTCCCTAAAGCACCCCATTCAGGAATTGGAGTGCAGTGGGCCTGCAGGGCACCCTGTACACTTCATCTGCATATGTTTTGTTATTTAATAAAAGTATAAATCCTGCTAAAAAAAAAGAAATGCTCCACATTTCTAAAGAAATACATGAATTAACAACATGGTGCTCCAACAGGAGTCCAGCTGCTGAAAGCTCCCATATGGAAAGGCCATACCTTGCTGCCAGTTGCCCAGAGGTGACCTCAGCTCTGCCAAGGGTCTGGGCAGCTCAGGACAACATCTCAACAGCCACAAGAGCAGAAAGAGGACGGTTTAACTCTTTTTTTTTTTTTTTTAATTTCGACACAAGACAAACTCACTGCTTAAATATCTTTATTATTTTAAAAAATTATTTGGACATTGACAGCTTTGCAAAATACTTCTCCCATCCCAAACCTTTGAACCCTTTCCACATATCCTCCATAAAGAAACAAAATAGTCATACCTTGTGCCCATTCATATCTAATTTTTAAAAACGTGAGATTCCAAATGAAATCTTATTTCTCTTCTCCAGAACGTGTTAGTAATTTTAAACCACAATACAACGTCCTCAATGGCATTTTATTTTTTTTAAAAAATTAGCTTATCAGACTATTTTATGAGAAAAAAAATCAATTCAAGGCCTTAGAGAGAACAAAAATTCCCTGTTCTTCCTAAAAGCAAAAGACATTGGAACACTCCGTGCTCCCCAGGAGTTTGTGATTCCAACGTCACCAAAAAAACCAGCACAGATAAGACTTTCTGCTTAGCATTAGGCATTGTTTAGTTACTTTTGGACAGCCGTGGAAATGCTCTATAATGTCTGAAGGCTAGGGTGGCTGGGTGGGAGTAACTCCAGCCTGTCCAAGCGACCAAGCTGGGAGAGCACAAGATGGAAGCTTTTGAGTAGTGGAGGAAGAACTGCCAAATCCTAGGACCAACCTCCTGTTGGATCTGTTTGGTGTAGAGGAAGACAGCAGAAAACCTGCAATCTGCACTAAATTTTTAATGATGGATTCAAATGTCAACCAAAAATATTGCACATAGTAGTAGAGGCATGTAAACCACTGAGAAAGTTCAGGAGAGAATAAAAGTAACTACAAATGGACCTAATTTCCCAAAATTTCCTTGGGAACTGGCTGGGAAAATTAAGTTCTCTTAGAGAAAGTAGGGTCAGGGTCAATTATCTGGGAGTTAGTGAGAGGAAGAGAGAAATACTCAATCCCTTCCTTATCCTCAGTGGGCAGATTTTTAAGTGAACAAATCTTCACAGATGTGTCCAGAAGATCTAGTAAAGGTATCACTTCATTTTTCCCCAACACAACTAGTACATCTCATTACCTAGCTTAAAAAAAAAAAATCCTACAACAGAACTTTGCTTATTTCCATTTGGCTAGCTGAACATCAGCAATTCTTACAAATGGCCTTCTCTGCCCATTCAACCTACCACTCGAAGCCACACATACATGCCCCCAACAAGCCTGGAAGGTGACTCCACCTCTAGGGCCCTGAGCATGGCCTATGTCTTTAGAGGAGGCTTGCAAAATACTGGTGATACTGACCAGTGTGCCACAAGGGGAAAACTGACATGAAACAAAAGGGCCTGTGCAGAATCAAGAAACCAGCAGAGTCCTGACCTGACTTTATTCTTAAAATAACATTTGCCAGGTTAACTCTGAAGCTACGGTGGACAGTGTCTGCTCATCTGTGTGAAATTAGCTGGGTCTGACGAGAGCCAGTCTTCTGCTGCCTTTTAAATTTCCAAATCAAGAAAACTTTTCTGACTCGTTTCTAGGAATGGATGTGAGTTATTTTCCAACTTAAGACACTAGGACAAATTTTTATGGTTCCAAGTTCTGACCTTACTAAATAGGGTGGTCACACTTCTGCTTTAATTTTAGATATGACAAGTGCCCACTGACTAACGTCCCACATATGTCTCATTTAAGCCTTCCCCTAACATTCACTCTCAGTAATAATACAGTACATGTATCATTAAAACAAAAGTCACTTATCAATAAAAAAATTTTCTCAGTACTCATCTAACCAAAAGGCTTCTCAGACCAGTAGACAGGTAACCTTTAAATTCCTCTGCTCCCATGGGTTCTAACACTCTTTTGTCTAATAGCTCTCCCTCTTGTACTCTGAGGCAGTTTCGCAAGCCATCAGAAAATGCCAACCCTTGCAAAGCCTTGCTCATCTTTGTGGGCTACAGCTGACACCAACCTTATTAAACTTTTTAAACATTTAAAAAATAAAAACAAAAGCATGTGTGCACATATGCATGCCTGTGCGTGCATGCGCGTGCACACACACACACATACACACACACTTTGGCACATGAGCCTTGAGTTACTTGAGCGTGTTCATGTTCCCACCCCTCCCCACGCCCCAACATTTCAGTCACCATTTCAGGAGAACTTTGGCTCCTTCTGCTAGATACGGAAGGTTGCCACCAAGCACTGTTGTTTTGAGTAGCAAAAGGAGGAGGGTACAAATGCTAAACTGGCCCCTAAAACAGCTCTAATGTTTAGTACTATAATTTATGCAATGCTGCAAAACTTTTGTACCAGGATGACTAGTTTCAAAACTGCTGGTTGATTAGATAGATATACACATACATATAGGTATAAAAATTACTAAGTCAACATTTGCTGTTTTCAATGTGAAAACGATAAAATGTAATTCTGAGTAATTGTGCATTTGCCAAGGGTCCTTGTGTAAGGACCATAAAAATAATTTTGTAATAAAAAAACTCTTATTATCATTTAGTATTGCCCTCAAGTTCAAAAGTTTGGAGCAAATGTACTGAACAGGCAGGATTGGAATCTGCTCCTACCAGGGTTCTGGAAGCCTTAAATTTAGTGACCCCCATGGCAGGCCTGGAACTCAACAGCTACTTACTAGCTTTGCACTGTTAACATCATGGCTGGGCAGCTCTAGCTGACTTCACAAACCAGTCAGAACTGAGACTGATTAAGCTGATGAGGCCCAGCTCTCCAGCTCCCTGCACAGAGCTCTAAGGGCACAGGTGAGCTTCAGCTCTGCCTTCTCTGAGTTGTGGGATACAACTGAAGCCAACTTATTAAGCTACCAGGCCAAGTGACTGGGGAGGGGAAGGCCTGGGCCAGTCAGCTGACTCTGGGGTGGGGAGAGGAGTGGGAACCGCTGAGCACCAAGGCCAAGGGTGATCCAAGGAGCTGTGTCCTCCTCAGCTTGAGGCTAGGATGGGGAAGGAATGGGCATTTCTGTGATACAGAAGTTAGCTGAGCAAGAAGGAAAAGTGCATTTAAGGTAGCTTAAAAACAGATTAAGACCAAATTGCCACAGAAAGGAAGGCAGAGTGAATGAGCCCTTCACCTGCCAGCACCGGCCATGCTTCCCAGAGTCTGTGGGCTCACACTCATGCTCTCTGGTGCAGTCTACTCTGAAGAAACAGGAACATGTGTCCTCCTGGTTCTGGCAGGTACACATTTTCTTGGCAAAGCTCTTTTTGCCAAGTTAAGTTTTATTTGGTGGTTGTTCTGAACCATTGTCACCGGAATTCATAGATGGGTGCGCTGTGTTCAGGAACATGAGTCAGATTGAGGGACTGGTACCTGCAAGGGGGGGGGGGGAGACACAAATGGGTAGCAGTCATCTAACACATGCTGAAAACCAAGCTTCTGAGGATGCTGGGAGAGATTCCCTCTAAGTCCAAGGACCGTCTATACTTGAAATGAAAAGTCACTTTGTGCTTCTTCAGTGAAACCTATTTAAATTTACTTCAAACTCTTTGGTTAATCTTCCTGAACAATGTGTTAAGCTATTTTGGCATTCTACTCCAATCATAGGTAACGATAGTGTGTTTCATACAACACACCCTGGCCTTCATCCTCATCCTTTACTTACTCCTGTGCACTGTCTGTCCTCCTTCCGGCATTTCAGCTCCCTACATATAATATGAGGATGTAGGAGCCTAAAAACTTAATGGATAACACAGGTACATCCTAAGTCTCATGGTACCTAACAACTGCATAAAAAATTAATTTCATTTTACCATTCATTTTCATTTCTCACTTTTCCAGAACTTTACTGTGCCTATTAAATGTTGAGAGATGTGAAGTGTTTGTTCCTTTCATTGGTAGGTGCACAAAGAACCAGGCAGGAAGGAGAAGCAAGGACTGGACATTCCACGCACTGGGGCAAGAACCCCTGGGATGCTGAGAGTTTGGGTTGGGTGTTAGCTCTGTCCTGCTTGCTTCACAAAGGAGGAAGAACATATAAAAGAAGAATACAGGTAAAACACAACTTATTTCTTAACAAAAAAATTATCAAAAAAGATTATACACCAGGCATCAGGGAAATGCAAATCAAAACCACAATGAGATAGCACTTCACACCCACCCACTAGGATGGCTGGAATAAAAAAGTCAGATAATCAGTGTCGGTGAGGATGTGGAGAAATTGAAACCCTCATATATTGCTGATGCAAATGCAGAATGGTGTAGGCATTGTGGAAAATTGCTGGCAGTTCTTTAAAAGGTTAAATGTATTTGACCTAGCAATTCCACTCCTAGGTATATAACCAACAGAAATGAAAACATATATCACACAAAAAGGTTCACACAAATGTTCACTGCAGCATTATTCAAAATAGCCAAAATGCAGAACAACCCAAATTGCCATGAACAGATGAATGGATAAACAAAATGTGGTCTATCCATACAATGGAATATTTACTGTTCAGCCATAAAAAGGAATGAACTACGGACACATTATGCTACATGGAAAAAAGCAATCACAAAAAAACATATATTGTATGATTTCATTTATATGAAATATCCAGAACAGGCAAATTGGTAGAGGCAGAAAATAGATAAGCGGTTCTCTAGGTTAGGACTGTGGGGGAGGGGGCTGGTGGAAATGGGGAGTGATTGCTAACATTTTCAAAATGATGCAAAAGTTCTAAAATTGATGGTGGGGATGGTTGTACAAGTTTGGGAATATACTAAAAGACATGAATTGTATACTTTAAATAACTGATAATGTTGTTATTAAAAAAAATAGAATTATGAAACGTTTTAAAAGCTAATTTGAAAATAGAACAATTACCTCAAGTCTAATAATAGTGCTCACAGGGTAGGTATTTACTTGCAGATATAATTTTGCTGCCACTGAACAAGGAACTTGTCATTCCAGGGTAGGATCACCAAAGTGTGAAAGATTTGAAAGGACTACACACAGGGAATTAGGCATTGCATGACATGGTTCATACTCCAGGTACAGTAGCAAGGAGACAGGAGAGTCCCAAGAAGGGGACAAAGCTAGCACCTGGGGGGCTTTTAGACCTTCATCTCAGATAAGGCAGGGTATGGCTGTCAGTTCCCACAGGCTCCTAGGTCATCAGACTGAATCAAGGACATGTGGGACCAATGTCTGAGGATCAAGACCACAAAAATGAAAAAGAATGTGAACAGCTTAATATACACTGTCCACAATCAGATCTTAAATTTTAGTTACTGTTTAACTTGGAAAGAATAAATACAAAACCATTAAGACAGAAACACTGCTACTATCACCACTGACTGCTCTGAGTGGAATCACAATAGAAAGTATGGAATAGAGTGGGAGATTATAGAATAAAATTCAAATTAATTTAAAAAACCAGACTTACTGGTCTGATAGAGACTGGTAGAACCCCCAAGACTATGGCCCTTAGACATCCTTCTAACTTAGAACTGAAGCCACTCCTGGAGATCACCTTTCAGCCACATAAAAAGACAGGCCTATAAAATGAACAATAACACCTAGGAGGAACATGTTCTTGGAACAATCAACTATATGAGACCAAGACGGTAGCATTTGCCCAAAAGCAAAGTTAAGAAGGTAGGAAGGGGCAGGAAAACTGGGTGAATGGAAACAAAGCATCAGAGGCAGAAATGGGGAGAATGTTGACACATTGTGGGGACTGCAACTAACGTTACAGAACAATCTGTGTATAAATTGCTGAACGGGAAACTCATTTGCTCTATAAACTTTCATCTAAGCTACAGTGAAATATTTGAAAAAAAAAAATGGAATCACTGCTAAAAATAGAGCATTGCTTAGATATATTTAGCAATGAGTTAGGTGTCCCTGAGTGGTGTAAATGATTAAGCATTTGACTACCAAAGGAAAGGTTGTCAATTCGAACCCACTCAGAGGCACCTCAGAAGAAAGGCCTGGTGATATGCTTCTGAAAGGTCACAGCCATGAAAATCCCATGAAGCAGTTCTACTCTGCACACATAAGGTCATCATGAGTTGGAACTGGGTTCACGGCAACTGTCACCCTGTCCCCCTTTACCCGGAACTTCATTTTCTTTTTGTTTTCTCTGCTCTGTGGGTTTTGGAGCAACTGTGACCATTAAACTGGTCTTGGCATCTAAATAAAGCATGCATCTATGTAGAGATTTTCTTTTGGGTTTAGTGAGCTGGGGGAGAACTGGGGAACAGTTGGGGAACAACAAGACACTGACTTTCTACCTCTGGGGTCTCTTACCATTCTGAACTCCTATGGTAGTAATAGCCCTCGATGGAGGCTGCTGATTTCTGGAAGCAGATGTAGTAGAACCCGGCAAAGGAAGCACCACTGATATCTTTGATTGTGTGGTCTGGGACCAGGAACTGCTCCTGTACACAGATGGGGAGGGTGATTAGCATGCATGATTAGCAGGTTTTTCCAACAACCACAGTGACTACTTGGGAGAAAAATACCATCCTATGGTCTAAGCCAGACTTACTGGGTGACAGCAAGGCTCTGGGTTTCAACCTGATTTTAAATAGCATTCCTGTGCTACTAGAGTACTCTACACACCAAAGCTGCAAACTCTGTCCTGTGCTCACTATCATCAGCAACTAACAGAAGGTAACCATGGTCTAACCATCTCATAAACACACACACACCTTTTAGAGACCACAGGCAGAATGACCTGGGAAAAGGAAGTTTATGCTCCACCCCAGTAACTACCACTAAGTTCCTGATCATCTCTAGAACAGCAAGTCACTTTTGTTGGTCTGTGGGTCATTTTGAGGGTAGATCAATCACGTAGCCTCCATAACACTCCCTCAAAAAGCTCTACTGCATCCAAAGGAATAAGAACAGTGCTGCACTTGATCAGGCACCTTATGAGAAAGGCAAGCATGTTTTCTCCAGCTGGAGGCAAGAGCTGTGCCCTAGAACCCAGTTTCCTGGAGAGAACAGGCCAGGCCTCAGGTGAGCCAACTTGAGAAATTCTTTGCAGACAAAACAACTCTAGTGCTGTTTTGATTTTAAGATGCACTGCTTCCCCTTCCTCAACACTGGAAATTGTAATTTTAAAAATTAAAGTGAAAAATTACCTTTAGAACTTTAAAGACTTCCTTTAACTGGTAAGTTGTCATATTTCCCATTAGATGGCAAGTGTCTACTGAAATGTCCAAATGTCTACTGAAAGAACAATAACCTCTACTCTACCTCAAATTATTAGATATACAGACTATAAATGACTATTCTAAATAAATCGACTGTAAAAAGCTGGCTAGATTACAAGATAAAACAACTTTTTCCCCCAGATTGGAAGCTATGCTTTATGTATGCTCACAGTTATGCAATGGGTTTGTGACATTGCCATCTGTGGCTACAACAAGGTAAGTACCATGCCACAAAAGCAGGGAGCAAAAATGAGTTCTCAGCCAAAAGCTAATACACTGAATGCAGCCAGATGGAGTTCTCTGAAGGTTGGTCAATGGAAAACCCAAATTCCATTCCAGGGCCATCATTTCCTGACTGGAGGGAGGCTAAGAAGACAGATACGGTGGAGGAGAGCAGTAATGTGAAGAGCACTGTTGTCTGCTGCTGAGAATCCTGCACAATGACAACTATGTTCAAAGGCAGTCTGAGTCTCCTTCTGATACACAGACACTTGGAATGATACAACCTGAACGTTCAGAAGGATTCCTGGGTGGGATAGAAGGCACAGACAATGTCCACGTGGACCTGGGCAAGAACCACTGCTAGTCACTCAAGTAGTTTAAACAGTGAGAAACTGCTTGGAAAGTCAGTGTGCTCTGAAGCTGTCTCTGCTTTACATGAGGATATAAAGACACTGCCACAAGACACTATTGGACTAGCATTGTGCCAGGGAGCCCCGGGTCAGAAGGTACCCTCTGTAGAGCAGCCACAGTATAAATCATGGATGAGCCTTACCTTCCACCTCATGAAGACATAATCCCCATTCTTCAACTCTTCATAATCAAAGTCATCAGAATTAAATGATTTTGCATACTGATAGAAAGCCAGAAACTTCCCCTGAAAGCAACAAGGAGTATGATAATGGATCAGCTGAGGGAGAGGGTGGCTCCAGGCCTGCTCTGACATGCCCAGGTGTGATCAACGTTTCAATTTCAGTACAGGAGTGAATGGGGCTCCAGACAAAGGCTCTGCAGGCCAGCTAATGGGAGAGAGAAGGCCCTTTTTTATTCACCCATCTACCTTCCCAAGACATGGCTGGAGAGAAGGATGGAGACAGGTGTCAGGAATCTCAGGGTTTCTTGGAACACCTTACCAAAACAAACAAAAGCCAAAAATAACTATCTAAATCTCTGTGGTGAATCAAAAGCAAAAGTGATGCAAAACAACCTAATAACAGACTAAATGGCCAGCCACAGAGGGGAAAGGGGCTAGAAAATGTTGGGGCTTGGACATGATATCATGGTTTGGGGGCAGCTCATTAAGTAGAATCAGGTTAAGTTATATAAAGACGACTAAAAGCAGAATATGCATTATGTTTGCAAAATTAGGTTGGGTGTGCCAGGACTAGAAGGAAATAATAAAAAATTAAAACAGTTGTGTCAGAGTGGTAGAATCGGGAATCATTTCTTTTTTAGAAAATTTCCTTTAATGCTGTTCTATCTTTACCTTTTCATAATAAAGGTTTTATTTTAATAAAGAAGTGAAGGCAACTTAAATGGCATACTAGCCAACCACTAAATAGGATATTATATTCAAAATGTTGACAATATATCATTAAGTGAAATAGGTAGGTTATGAAAATGTATGTTATGGTCTCATTTTTGTTTTTTAAAAAGTATGTATATATAGATATGTCTATATATATGAGTCGGGGCTGACTCGATGGCAAATAACAACAACAACAACATATATATAAAGATAATTCTGAAAAAGATTAATAGCTATTTTACCTTTAGGTATTGTCATTATAGGTGTTTTTTTCCCTTTTGCTTTTTTAAAAAATTAAAAGTAAGTATGTATTAACTTTATAAGAAAACATTTTAAACAAAAATTTAAATAAGGAGATATTAAGTTATAGGTATTTTATTCTGAGCCTTGAACTTTACAAGACCACTATCTTTAACTCAAGAAAATGTGAGGGTCCAATACATTTGATTACAGTTTACAATAGGGGAAAAAACAAAACAAAACAAAACAAAACATTTATACAAGTGAAGTTTATTAGACATCATAAAACCCCAAATAAACTGATGCCCAGTAGGGAGCCCTAGGAGTCCCCTATGGGAATCTGAGAATCCTAAGAAGAAGACGGCACATAACAACAACAACAACAAGAGGTAAGTTGGGAAGTTATAGGGAATGCTGAGAGTCCTGCACAGGAAGAGAGAACTGCTAGAGAACGAGAATTCTGCAGGCCCCGCTCTCTGTCACTGTCACATTGAGCACACCAGTGCCAAGGCTGACCTGTTAACCTCTCTTTCACCCAAAATATTCAATCCAGTCTAGCCAAGGCTAGAGTCTCAGATGGGTTCCAGTTTTCTAATGGAAGTCAATGGGAAAATAAGTTGTGCTGCAGGTATTTACTTTGTGGTCAATTTAGCCTAAAACTGAATTTTCACTGGACCTCAAAGACTTAACTTTTTACACGAGCAAATTCAAATGAAAAATAAAGCTGAACAGGAAACAGGCCTTGGTTTATTACAAGAAAGAACTTTCTACATCAGAGTTGTCCAGGAGAGAAAGGAGTCATTTTGGCAAAGCACAATGGAGAAGCCAGCATGAGGCAGGGCTGGAACTAGGTGGCATCAAAAAGCCCTCCCAGTCCGCTTCTGAACGCTGGGCACTGTGGCAGACCACTTTAGCAGCCCGTGCCTTCTGGATAACTAGATCATGTTCACTTTCTTGTTACAGAAACAAATACCACTGTTTTGACTTAATTGTCTATTTGCTACAACAGCCAAACAATGCAGCTTTCAAAAAACATTTTAAAAAGCTCAAGTTCAAATTTAAAATCTATTAAAACTCAGCATTTGATAGATGTCCCTTTCCTAAGTCAAGTAAAAATCATTACTAAGCAAAGCAGCTCCTCTGTATTGAAGCTAAACCCAGACAAGGGTCTGCAGTAGGCATTTGCTCCACTGTAACTGCTGTACTATAAAATCAGGTTAGACAGCAGATCTGAGTGGCAATGGGAAAAAAGAGGAATTTAGAATCTTTATTACTGTCACAGCCATTTTTGCTTATGATTAAGCATACTGGAATTCCTTAGTGTCTAACAAAAATGTATCATCATTGTCATGGTCAACTGTGCCAAAAGGATATTATGGTCGGTTAAAAAATAGATTCTAAAGATACAAGATGTGTGACAACCAATGAAAAAACTCTGGAATGAAAATGAAATTGTCTTGAAGTGTTTATTACTGTACTGGTCTGTCTATTAGGAGCTAGGATTAAAAGAAGCCCTGTAGTTTTGCCCACAGAGATAAACCAATGGGAGGGGCAGGTTTCTATCAACTACATCATTTCATGCCAACCCTAACGTCAGAGACAATTACTTGTGTTTTGCCCAAATAGGTGATTAGAAAGGAAGAGTGGACAAAACATGAACAAACAGGTACAGAGGTCAGGGGGATACTGTTAAGACTGATAGCTAGAAGAGTTTTGAATGCAACTTTGGGGGTTGCTATTATCAGATAACAATTTTTCCACTTAAATTAGAGCATCTAAGTTGGCATCTAAGCTCTTTTCATAGGGAAGATAAATAACTGAGGTTTGTGCAAGAATAAAGGATGTCTCTAGCTCCTGCCCAGCATTTCCTTAGTTTTTCAGCAGTCACTGGATGACCCACAGCAGGTCAAAGATTTACTCACCCAGTGTTTCCGATCAACATCTTCATCTGCATCCCACTTTCGAGTTAAGAAAGGGTGTTTTTTGCTTATTATTTCTCCTTCAAAGAAGGTTGTAAGCGTTGGATACTCCTACGGTAAAAGGTCAAATATCAAAAGAAGATGCTTTACCAAGAACTTTAATCTTTATAAAGGGAGACTCAACCTTGCTTTAACTTCTAATACTTTGACAATAGTAATCACCATAACCCAGCAATCCGAACCAGAGTTAAAATGGGTGATCTGCCAAGAGGCTGTGCAAATGGATTTGAACTTGCCTGTATACTGGAGGATATCCTGGGCTTTGCAGGCTTTGCCTGAAGCAAAAAACCCTTCCTAGACTTCACTTGTTATGTTTTTGGTCTCTCAGAAAAGAATTTTGACTATTTGCACCAAATATGAATTCTGAATCTTTTAATATATGAAGCAGATACTGACTTAGCAGATTTTACTTTACAAGGTAGAAATCACAAAGACGCTCCAAAATTACAATGTTTACAGTTAAGTCTTCCTCAAAACCATGGTCTGGCCTACTGGCTCTCAAAGTGGTTCAGTAGTTTGCCTCTTTCAATCCAATCATTCAAGTTTCTGATGCAAGTGGATTTCTGGGTAGACCATTTGGAAATATATTCTGTTTAATTCTATCATATAGCAATATTTTATACTAGAGAAAACATGTATAATCATGTCTACAATATAAAATCACAACCAAAGAAAATGTCATTGAAAAAATAAACAAGAATCAGAGAAAATATTTAGGGACCAATATGATAAAGGTTTAATACTCAGAATACATAAAAAACTCCAATAACTTAACAACAAAAAGACAATAAAAAATGAGCAAAGGACTGAATACACATTACTCCAAAGAAGATACACAATGGTCAATAAACACAGGAAAGTTACTCAACTCTGTTAGTTATCAGCAAGAGGTGAATCAAAACCACAAAGAGACACTACTTCAAATCCACTACAGTATCTATCATCAGAAAAGCAAGCACTTGAAGATGGAGGAATAGGTAGACAAGCGACGGAGACCCTCTTCAACAAAGAAAAGAAAAACCAATTGACAGAGATACAGAAGATAATCCTGGAGCCCCGAGCTTTGAAAGGAACTATACAGAAGAGGATTAGGCACCAACTAGTGGAAAAACCTGAACCAAAACAGGACCTAAGAACAGGCTCTGTTTGCCAAGGTTGGCAGGGACATACAAGAGGCTGACAACAGGAAAGGAGACAGGTGGTGAGTGTATACGTGCTGTCAACTAGCGAATAGAGAAGCACAGCACAGTACCTTGCTTGTGTAGATAATATATAAACAAAACAAAGAAAATGAAAATCATGGGCAAGTCATTCCAACATCCAATCACCAATTAAATATAAACACAAAAATGTCACAATGCCTCAGAGACAACAGAGCTTCACAGTCCACACAAAGAAGCAAGATAAAGCAGGAGAAACAAGAGACCAGATACAGACCCAAAACACATCCCTGAGGAAGACGCAGCATTGAAACTCCCTGATAAGGAATTCAAAAGAATTATATTTAGGTATCTTCAATGAATTGAGAGACAGATCAAGGAAAACACAGAGAAAACCCTAGAACAATTTTAAAAGACAATACAAGAACAAAATGACAAAATAAATGAAAAGTTAGAAATGATTCAAAATCTACACACAGAAATCCAGAAGATTAATACTAAATTTTCAGAAATAGATAAGATATTGAATGGGCAAAGGAGCAGAATTGAATCAATGGAAGACAGAATTAGGGAGATTGAAGGCAAATACCTGGATACTTCTTTGGAAAGGGATAAATCAGAAAAAAGAGCAAAACAAAATGAAGAAAGCCTAAGGTTCATGTGGGATACCATCAAAAGGAATAACCTACATATCATCTGAATTCCAGAACAGGAAGAGAAAAATAAAACCACTGAGAAAATCCAAGATTTGCTGGAAGAGAATTTTCCTGGTATGATGAAAGATAAGAATATATCCATTCAAAAAGTCCAACAAACAGGATAGACCCCCAAAAGAAAATCACCAAGACATATCATCATCAAACTCACCAAAACCAAAGACAAAGAAAGAATCATGAGAGCAGCATGGGGAAAACGAAAAGTTACCTACAAGGGGCAACCAATAAGACTAAGCTTGGATTTCTCGACAGAAATCATGCAGGAGAGAAGACAATGGGATGGTATAGATGAAACACTGAAAGAGAAAAATTTCCAACCAAGAATTATGTACCCAGCAAAATTGTCCCTCAAATATGATGGTGAAATTAAGACATTTCCAGATAAGCAGAAATTAAGGGAATTTGTTAAAACCAGACCAACCTTATAAGAGATGCTAAAGGAAGCCCTTTGGATAGAGAAGCAACAACAGCCAAAAACAACTGACCATTAACACACATAATATAACCCAGAAACCAACCCAGCTATGAAAGTATCCAAAGTAAATAAGCCTACAAGATTGTAAACAGGGAACCAGATACATCAATTGACAAATGATGACAACTACAAACCAAAAAGAGGGAAAAAACTGTGTCATTACAGAACTTCTAGATGGTAAGGAAGTCAAGACAACTACAGGGTAGAATGGACTGTTCTAAACTTCGGAAGAAAACTATAAATCACAGGGTAACCTCAAAGAAAAATGATAAACCTTCACATCAAAAAGAAAAAAAAAGGGGGACCGGCATAAATATTCAGCAATACTAAAACAATAGCAATGAAGGAAGTGATAACATGATTTATAAACAAAACAATCTCAACATAGAAAATTACACAGAACAAAGAAATCGACACCACAAAAAAGCATGTAACGAAAAAGCATGTAACAGCAACAAATTCATATTTGCCGATAATTACATATCTGGCAAGGGACTTATCTCTAAGATTTATAGAAAATTCCAATGCCTCAACACCAAAGGAATTAACAATCCAATTGAAAAATGGGCAGAAGACATGAATAGACACTTCACCAAGGAGGATATTCAGGTAGCCAGCTAATTCATGAAGAGATGCTCACAATCACTGGCCATCAGAGAGACGTAAATTAAAAATAACAATGAGATACCGTCTCAACCCAGCACTGATGGCAAGGTTCAATGAGACAGAAAATAAAAAATGCTGATGGGGATGTGGAGAGATTGTGTGACTGAAGTGACGACAATCACTGTGAAAAGCAATATGGTGATTCCTTAGAAAGCTGGAATTGGAGATACCATTTGACCCAGCAATCCCATTACTAGGTGTATATCCTAGAGAGGTAAGAGCCAGGATAGGAATAGATATATGAACACTCAGGTTCATAGCAGCACTATTTACAATAGCAAAAAGATGGAAACAACCTACGTGCCCATCAGTGGAAGAGTGGATGACCAAACTATGGTACATACACATAATGGAAT